TAGTCAAAATTGGCTATATTGATCTTATAATCTCACATCAAAAAAAGCTTGACGTGCACGGCCAAGAACTAGTAATTAGCGGAGAATATGCTCAACATCAAGACCTTTCTAAACACAATATTATCCGAAAAGAGCGTAAAGCCGGTAAATTCCGAAGAGGTATTACGATTCCACATGGGTTCAAAACGGATGATATCGATGCACAATATAAAGATGGTGTATTAACAGTGAAGATTCCAAGAAATCTTGAATTTAAGCCAAAACGTGTCAATATTAAATAACCAGATTGTATTGTAGATTCACTTATTATGTTGTCAAATTGTCTAATCTAAATGATTTTTATAAAGTTACATGGGTTAACAAATTTTTATCCAATATATAATACAATATTCGCTATAGCTAATGCTCTATAATTGGGCCAATAATTCTTAGCAATATATAGATACATGTGTTTTAATATGTTATTATATCAAGAATTTTTCAATAATGGTTCCAGTTCTGAATGCTGTTGTTGCTGCTGCTGATATTGTGTCTCTTCGAATTCATCATCACGATCGGGTAATCTTTTACCTTTAAGTTCATTATGATTGTTAAGATTACCGTTACTATTAATTTCATTTTTATGCTGTACATCTACTCGACTTGAATTTTCAATTGAACCATATCTAACATTTGAATTGGAATTGGTTGGAGCAGAAGTACCAAGGACACCAGAAGTAGGCGAAGAAACTTGAGGAGAATTTATTATTTTATCTTCGTTTTTACCCAATTTTCTGGCTCTTCTTTTATCAATCACAATATCTGATGTATTACGTACGCTTTCCGGCGACCTTGATCTTGATCTAGATTTCGAATTGTTAATAGCGGCGTCATCTTTATTATTATTTGTTGCTCTCTCGGTAGATAATGTTCGACCCCAATTCGGATGGTTGGCGCGAGCTCCAGTTGTTCGGTGCATAGCAAGAAATGGTCGTGGTTTCATCTGACGAGGTGGTCGTCGTATCACTTCAACTTTTTTGTGAACTTGTTATTTATGCATCATATAAATAATATTAATATCAGTATTAAGAGTCAATTTAAATGATCGCAATTCAAAAAGTCAAAAATACCATCAACATAAACATCTGTTTCATCGATAATTTCCTAAACATGAATTAATTAAATTAAAAATTGGATTCAAAATATAGCTGAACATATATAATAAATTTTGATATACCTCTCCAATCAATTCTTCAATCACGTCTTCCAGGGTAATTACACCGAGTGCGCCACCCTCACCACCGGGATTCTCGGTAACAAGCACCATGTGACCTTTTTGCAAATAATAAATTAGTATTATTCTATGGAATATTTGTATTGGATTTTTAAAGATATTACTTCTTCCTTCCTGGAAAAAATTCAGGATATCAAGACAACTAGTCTCTGGCGCTGTTTCCGGCAAAGAACTCAATGTGATACCATTGACTGGTAACGTGTTGACTGGTAACGCATCTTCAGGATCATAGGATATAAGTTTCTTGACGAGAAGCATTCCGATAAAATTTGTGGGATTTGGCGGTTCGTATATTGGAATTCGTGAATATCCAGCAGTCAGAATCTATTTCAATCACATAATAAAAAATTATGAGGGGTCATAAAGCAAAGAAAAACAAAAAATTTTATATTAAGAGAGACAATAAATTACCTCATCGACAGTTTTCTGATCTAATACATGATGAGCACTCAGTGTATAAACATCCGCCAATGGAGTCATTACAGCTGAAACGGGTTTTTCACGAAGTTCCAATACTGCACTGATTATTGTCACTTCATCTTCGTTAAGACTTTCAATACCGCCATTTTTATGTAGGGATACAAAGGTCTTAAGTTCTACAAAAAAAAAACGATTTAAAATTCAACGGAAGTTGCAATAGATAGAAGATAGAACAAACGAAACAAATGGATAAAATACCAGATTTTCGATACATTGTGCCATGATGTTCACCTAAACAGTAATCTAACAAAGCGGCAATTGGATATGCCACTGGATACATGAAATACATTAAGAGCAAGACAAACCTTTAATCAAATCAAATATCACATATTAATAAAAATTCAAAAATTAAATCAATTAAAAAATGTGCATAACATAAAGAACTAAAAAAGCAAACGATTTACATATTCATTAAATATAGGAATAAACTTTAGTTACCACGCGCAACCGGCTCCAATGGCAAGTCCGTGCCTCACGCAAATTGCTATAATAAAGAAAACAATAAAAAAGATTAGCTTTATTCAATATAATGTTAATACACAATCATTAGATAATAAAAACAGAAAAAAAATTATATATATAAAACCTTGTGGAATAATCCTAATAGAAATTCAGCAAAAAATGATCGGTTAATAACTGACAAATAATAAAAGCAGTAAAAGCTAAACACCGAAAAATCACAATGAATTCACCTAAAATACACTTCTACTAATTTCAAATTTGAAGATCAAAAAAAATACATACTCCCCAAATAATACGATCAATGCAGTGGATATTAGGACAGCAGGCCAGCCTCCACCCCACACAGAATCCATGATAATCGGCAGTGTTTCATTGACAATCACATTCGAGAGTAACAATGTCACCAGCACCCAATGTTTACCACGATTCAATAATGCGAGTACCGCTTTCGCATGTTTACGTTCATCGAACTCGCCTGACATCACCAACACTTGTAGATTTGTTTCGTCAAGCCCCATCAAACCTATCGTGAGACCTTGATGTGAAATATAGTCAAAAAAAAGCGGAAAATATGTTATATGAAAAACCTTATGAAATCTAATGAGTAATAATCTTAGATATTACTGCAAGCTAATTTACCCACCACCAAATCCAAAGTATATAAAAATATAAGAAACAAACCAGCAAAAACCCCACCCAATATGACCAACGTAAAGATCGTTAACAATTTAAACCAGAGTTCCGCCGTCGACATTTCTCTGACTATCGGAGACGACAAATGCTCATTTTCATTAAGGATTAGACTAAGATCCTTATGATTTGACATTTCATATGAATTGGAAGATGTAGGGAATCCATTCAGAGAACGTAAAAGTGGTAATAGAAAAGTGATGGAGCGCAAATACGTATAGAATAATGTATTTGGCATTGACAGCTGACGATAAGATTTATTGAGATTAAATAATTTAACTATACAAACGGTTTCCGATCATTGTGATATCAAGAAACGCGTTATTTATAATTTTTACTGATTGAATTAATATGAACAAATCATCGTTGGCGTTACCAAGTACGTCATATCAATGGCGAAAATCAAAAAGATATCGCTATGATTTGTGATTGGTCCAGCACTGATTTCATTGAGCTTTACTTTCATTGTTACTTTATTAATATCAGAGATCAATAAAATAAAATCATCATCATCATCAGAATAATAATAATAATAATAATAATAATAATAATAAATAATAACAAAAATAATTAATGCTTCTTTATACAAAAAATGCAAGGAAAAAAAGGAATTACAAAAATAAACAAAAGGAATTTGCTCGTGAATAATAGTATACACACATATACACAAAAACTGACTGAATTGATCAATTGTCTTCTCTGCTTCTAGAATAAATAATCTTGCTAAAAGATCAAATTGTAAGTGCTAGTTATAAATACGAAGAGAGTATAAAATGGTAAAAAATGATTAGGGTAAAATAAAGCTAATAAGATATAAAGATGATTGTTTGGATGTGAACAGATCCGAAAGAATCCACCGAGAGGTTCGTGGTATTTGATAGATTAGAGGACAATTGGTTGTGTGTAATATATGTGATTCTGTGCAAATGAAAAATATATGTATATATTTATGTATAAAAAATATACTATTCTCCTTGCTACCTAAATCCCTTAATTTCTTAATGCTAATCCTTTTCAGCAATCCAGATTGGCAAAAAAGAATAAACAGAAAAAAAAAATAAAGGATGTCAATAACAAAAAGAAAGATTGGCGCAGCCAACCAAATGTGTGGTGGTTATATATACCTATATAAATATATTTAGATATATTTATATAAAAAAATATGGCTAGTTAACAAATGAAATAGGAAATATATGTACACAAAAATACATTTTTCGATCATGGTTGATTTGAATTCAACGAAGAGGATCAATCGAAAGTGCGATCAAGGTGTGCCAAACAGTCGCGTCAGTCTTTGATCATATTCAATTGTATAGGCAATCGACGGCGACATTTCCAACAGATGATTAGTTATATGTCGGAATGGACCTTGAATGTCAAAATCAAATGGTAAAAATGATCCCGTTGTTGATTCAGCATTATTATCATTATTATTATTATTATGATGATGATCGTTTATGTTGTTGAAACTGTTAATGTTGTTTGATTGATGTGACAGTGAGGATGCTGACGTCAAAGGCAATGATAATGGATTATGATTTAATACTTGATGATGATGATGATTATTATGATTTGATGAGTTTTCATCATTAAAAATATTTAAAGATGAGCTACGCCCTGTATCAAATGTCCATGATGGAATAATTTGTACTTGTATTCCGCCTGCAGAGTGAGGTGGCGGCTGTTGAATTGAATCGGTATTTTGTTGAATTGAATCAGTATTTGATGTAGCGGTGATGGAAGGTGACGGTATCTGATTAGAAATTGTCCAATGTGGATTATTTGCTAAAGAATTTGACGAAGAAGAGGAAGAAAGAGAAGGAGGATATAGATTATGCGGTGACATTGGTCCTTGATGAAGAAATGGAGATTGCGCGGGTGGTAGTGGATATGTAGATGGTGGTGATGACGATGATAGCATATGAATTGAAGATGATGAACTCCCAGATGTTGTTAACGGAGGGGAAGGATATGGTTTCTTTATACCAGACATAATTGGTGATAAAGCTGTCGATAACGAATAATTGTTATTATTAATGTTGCTGCTGTTATTATTAAGAAAAAGCGAATTTTTTATGTCATCAGCATTATCGGAAGCACTTGATTTTCGCCGACCAAGTCGTTCAATTGGAAATGAGGATGTATTTGTCGTGAAATCACCCAAATTTTTCTTGAATCCTTCCATACTATTATCGGAAGCACTTGAACTACGTCGCTGGATGATCAATGATAACCTATTATTAATTGCGGCTACTCAATCAATTAACTAATTGATAATCAGTTGAACACCTACCGAAAATCCCGTATTATTTCCCTTTCTTCTCGGTTTGTACTTGTAATTTGGAAACATTTGTTCATGAACACGTTTAGCCACTTCTGCAATAATTTCATAAACTTGTTTAACCTCTTGGGGCTCAACATTCCATTTTTCCGAGGCCATCTTCGAAATTGACCCAACCCGAGCTCCAAACTCAATTTCAGCACCCTGCTCAGCAACCAATTTCGCCTGAAGATCTTTACGATAAATCACCCAAGGATTCTGCGGACGTGGTGGAACCCCATTTCTGAATTTTCCTTTGGGTTTAATCAGATCTTCGATCGTGAGTTTTGTTTGTTGCCGGATTTTGTCGCGCGTTGCTTTATCGAGGTTGGATATGATTTCTGATAATACAAGTGAAAAATTACGGCTTTGATCCGTGTTATTATGGTTGCTATCGGTGGCGATGTTGGTGTTGTTAAATGTGGTAAATTGTTGGTGTGTTTCAGGATGCGTAGTGAGTCCAGCACTTTCATTCGGAAGGGTGACAATGTATGAAAATTGTGGGGTTAATGAAGTTATAATATTTTTACCATCAACACTAACGACACCTCGTTGCTGCGTTTTATTAGTCATTGTTATTATGGGCGTAGTCTCGTCAAATTTTCTTTCTCTCTCAAGACTATCGCCAATTTTTCACTCGATATTCCACGTCGCGTTCGCGCTCCAGAATAAAAAAAATACAGCTCTCTTCTTCTTCGGATCCGTATTTTCTTTGTTTCTTTTTATTTATAAAAGTAATGGGGGAAAAAAAGAAGAAATAAATGCCTTTTTCTTTCTTTTGATATTATACTTTTATTCTTTTAGCGTTTGTTTTCGTCTCGTTTCGTTTTTTTCGTTTCTTTGAAAAATAATAGCAATAACTAATAATATTAAATAATAATAATAATATTATTATAAATATTAAATAATAGTAATGATGAATGATAATAAACTAAATAGGAACTATTGTTCTCTTTCTTTAGTAATTTGGTGGGGTCGATAGTTACTAGAGGTACTAGAGGTCGGTGGGGATAGTTGTTGTAGTAGTTGATAAAATGAAATATATTGGTGAAAGTCGGTCGTTTTTACCAAACTACTATTTTTCTTTTCTTCATCAAGTTCAGTTAATAACAAAATATAAAAAATGAGGGAACTGTTATTATTGTTACTATGAAATAAAGTTTAAGGTAGACAAAATAATAAAATAACGATAAAACAATAACAACAAGAGATATAAGGAGAACGTAATTAAATTACAATCATTATTAGTTGCATCGTCGTATTTGTAGATAGTCAGTTTAGTGTTTTTATTATTATTATTATTATTATTATTATTATTATTAGTTGGTTCGCTTATCACATTAAGTAACAGCACGCAGCCTCCGGAAATTTACATTGTTTTCATTTTGCCCGTTCATATCAATATCTTTTTTTGGTGCGCACATTGTCTCTCTATAATTACACATGTATAAATAAATAATTACAAATGCATTCCGAAAAAGTGCATAATACAACCAAGCGGGGCAGACACACAAAAATACGAATTACTTAAACGCTACCATCAAATGAGAGAAAGAAAAGAGGAACTGGATTTTCAAGGACAGAGAGAAAAAGACCGAAAAGACAGATTATACCGTTATTTTCAGCCATTTCTATCCATTTCTATTCTATTCCGAAATCAAATACTTCACATTCGATTCAGTATTCTTTTTACATCAACTTGGCTATAACATGGCAAAAGTTTCATTGAAGTCGTATTTTTGTCTATATATACACGTTCATACACATGCATATTCATTCTACCACATTTTAAGAAAGTCAGTTGAATGATATAAATATATATATATATATATATTTATATATTAATGAATGACGTATAAATTTCGGGATATATTGATTGATAGATGAAATCCTTAATCAATAACGATAACGAGAACAAAATCAAAATTCAACGCATAAATATCACGTGTAATCATCTACGACATTAATGTGTGCATGTTAAAATAAAAAAAAAGAATTATTTCGCCACAGCATGGCAAATCAATTTTAGTCAACAGATCTTTTCCAAACGTGTAATATAATGATATAGTGAGAAAAAAGAAGCGATAATGGAATTAATAATAAATATTTACATGATTGGCGATAGAAAAAAATAATGTTTATGTAAGGTTAATTGTGATTGTTGTTTCGTATAATGACGATGCCGATGACGATGATGGAAGTTTAACGTATCAATGAATGAGCCACGTTCTCTTTGATCTATTTTCAAATCAAATACTATCGCTTGAGTATTTTTGATGTACATGCACCTCACGAATAAGGTTAATTATATAATGAAGGGGCGAATTATATTATTCTAAAATTGGAAATTATGTTATCCTGTTTTATGGAATGAAAAAGATATTGTTGTCGTTATTTGTAATTTGTTTAAACCAAGAAAACAAGAAAAAGACAATAGGAAATGATGATGTGATCATAATCAATCGTCGTGTGTGTTTTTTGAAACTAATTACTTTATTTAGATATAATTGACAAATTATTATTATTATTATTATTTATGATAGACACATCACAGAAAAGAAACGTGATAAAGGAATGAGAATTCGGAGTTTATTTTCCATCTAGTTACCCCACTAATACTAATATCGACAAAGATATTACTTGCCATCCGGTGTGATTTATGTAATATGATAGGTTACTTGATCGAAGTATTTTTAAATTATGCTTAAATCTTATCCAATGAGTTGTTGCTTGCGCGCGTGATTGAGAAATTTTTAAATAGTGACACCTAAGTTCGTAATTTATGCATGATAAATAGGTCATGGCAACTACATCCGAGACTAATATTAAAGATACATTGAAACGTGTGTCGATATCAACTGCTTTATTAGGTACGATTACATAACATATTCATCGGTAATAGATAAATAAATAATATATTAATTTTCGATGTACAATGTACATTAAAAGCTGGCGTTGGTTCAGCAGCAGGGGGAACACTTGGCTTGATTCGCAATGAATCGGTCGCTCTTTATGCAAAAAATATGGGGATGAATTTTGGTATCTTTGGATTGCTATTTTTTGGTAACGATGTGATTGAACAATCGAATTTTTGACTGGTGAGAATGATTGATCTTTTATGGGACTAAATGTTAAAAATTAGGAACACGAGAGTCATTATTAAGAGGCCAGCGACAACAAAATTCTTCAGCTGGATTGCTTAATTCACAAGTAAGAGATTTCGATGAATTATACTGTAGTGCCTTGGCTGGGGCGACAACTGGAGGTTTATTGGCTGGCCTAGCTCGTGAGTCTTCGTTATGCTTACTTTTTTTAGTGACGTTTACTTTTTAATAAATGATGATAATTTATCCATATTAACCAAATCGGTTTCTTGATTATCGAAAGGTGGACGAAAAAGCATTATATCAGGGGTATTAGCATATGGTCTAATCTGTGGCACAGGACAATTTTTATACACGAAAATGTATCGACTACGACAACATTTGATTCTCCAATCGCTTGAAAATGAGCGAAATGGTCAACCGAAAAGAGGATTTTTTGAATATGTTTGGTCGGGTGAATGGTCACCTGTCAGGATGAGACGGTTGTCTCATGAAGAAGCGGCAAAAATTAGAAAGGAGAAAGAGTTATTATTAGAGGAGTCAAAGGAGTCTTCGTCTGCGTCGTCATAAATCAGATTAATAAACTGTACAATACAAAAATAGCATTTTGTAAATAACCCCATGTGCCATACCTCTCCTTTGGAATTGCAAAATCTAATGAGAGCACCCACCGAATTTACTTTGATAAAAAATAAATTACAATCAATTACAACAAAATACGCTCAGGTGCCTCAGTAACTTTAGAAAATCGATCCAAGAACTCTGCAGCAACCACTGGATCCACAACGCGTTCATCAATACTCAATTGTACATTAACAATATGACTTGCGTCAACGCGTGGTGCAAGTCTATTTTGAATCGTTTTTTGTGATTCAATAGAAGAGTGTGAGCTGCTCATGCTTTTGGGTGACGGGATTACCCCACCAAGATATTCTATAATGTTTAATGTCTCATCATCTGACAACGAAGATGACGATGATGATGATCTCGAATCAGGTTTAGAGCCAAGATAATCCAGTATATCTGAATTATTCGTCTTATCTGTAATATCAATAACCTCGGGGATTTTGGTAACAGCTCGAGTGCTACCAATTGTCAGTATAGAAGATTGCGGCGGATTTATAATCCCTGTGAACTCATCTACTCCCAAATTCGATATGCTATGAGAAGAAAATAAAATTCGATTCACCTATAAATCACCTATTACCTAACAAATCTTTAAAATTAAAATACTCGCCTAAATGAACCACCTTCATACTCTTCCGGCAAAAGTTTACTTTCTTTCGCTTTACTTGATAGCTCCTTTATAAGTTCAAAAATAGTCTTTAATCCTTTCTCTTCTGTTTTTCTGATAACAGGTTGAATACTCTCGGACGGTGTAGCAACACCAACAGAAATATCGATATCAGTATTTTTTGAGGTCAAGTTTTCGGAGGTTGGATCATAACGCACATTTAATTCAGGTGATTTGCGTAGTGCCATCGATGCAGCTTTTACGAAAAAGTCGTTGATTGTTATATTTGTTTTGAATTGTTCTAGTTAAGCGAAAGATAATTTTAATTTAGCATTGGATTGAAAATCATATCGTAATTCATCTTCTGAATAACAAATACCATTAAATGTCTGTCTAAACTTCAAAAGTTCATCGATATTGATACTCTTTGAGATATAAGAATGTGGTATCGATGATTTTGATTTAGTCACTCGGGCGACTTCATCTTTTTTTGTCAAAGGAATATCCACATACTCGGATGATTCACGTGCAGTCTGAATTAATTTCATTGCAAGTAAGTACAGAGATAAGAAGTTATCATAGATTAGCAGTTATTACCTTTGTTGGAGCTACCACCGTCGGCGACGGCCTTGTATGTTCTTTTTCCACCTCGCCTCCTTGTTCCTTTGAAGTTTTGGTTCGAGGCTCTATTTTTCCAAGATATGCCAACACGTCACCTTTCAATAATCGTCCTTTTGGTCCGGTTGCCGTAATTTTCGTGGCGTCACTTATTCCATTCAGTGTAAGCAGGTGTAAGACTGCTGGTGATAGTGGAGCAGAATGTTTAGGGTGTATTGACGTTGACGGAGCTGGAGTAGCAAGCGTTGTAGACATTGAAAAAAACCGATTTCGGAGGATTCTTTCGTTAACGTTAATTTTAATGTTCTTGACATGCTTAATTCTGTACATTATTTCTTGTTTAAAGGCTCGAATTCAATGGAAAGTTCAATTTGCTTTTATTTGCTGATATGCTCGTGATCTCACTCAATAAAGCAGATCAATATTGATTAAAAAGATTCGGGCGAATATGTATTCAAGTCTTGATAGAAATTATCTTTATATAATACATTTACTTGTATTTCTTTCATTATGTATTAGCAATAATAATAATATTTTTATCATATTCAACCGAAAAAGTCATTATGGAGGCAGTTGTGTACTTGCCGACAAGGAACAGAGAAGTATATATGAGAAGAATTTGGTGTCCAATTCAATAACGGTAACTCATTGATTAAATGATTTATCAATTGAATGGTTCATTAATATGGATTATTTTCTACAAACAAAAATAGTATCAAAAAATATTAGACCATCACGATAAATTCTTAAAGCAAAATGCAAGTGCTATAAAATATTTTGAAGGTGGTCCTATTTTAGCATACGTTACGCCTTGGAATAGTCATGGTATTATACATAATGAAGAAAAAGAGATACCTTCTAAAATGAGTGATTCGTGGTTGCTATTTATTTTTTATATTGATTTCTATGATTTAAGGATACGATATTGTAAAAATGTTTAAAGGGAAATTTGAATAGTATGCTTTAAATATCGATTTTTTTGATTAATTGTATTTCAATATTTACAATTGATATTGATCTTCTCAATTATGCTATGTAGTGTGAGTCCAGTATGGTATAATATCCTTCGAAGGTATTTTTTTAATTCTGAATTTTCATACTTCTTTATTGATTTAATCAATTGATTATTGATTTTAAAATAAAAAGACCCCATCTAAGAAATAAATATGAACTAACGGGTGCTCATGACGTAGACCAAACCTGGATTTCGGAAATACGCTACAACAATCAAAGCTACAACAAACAAAAATATGGAAAAGTAGTACCAAGATTTCGTACAGAATCATGGACACAAACAGACTATTTATCACTATTAAACAGCTTCAACGAGACACGTCAATTCGTCAAGTTACTTGTTGATGAATGTCACGCACAGAATTTTGATGGTTTAGTATTGGAAATGGGAATTTCTTCAATACTTTTGAGAGATTTAGTGCAAGAATTGGGTGAATCGTTGCATCAACAGGCGAAGGAATTGATTTTGGTGGTATCACCGATAAGAAAAGGAGTTCCTCCTCCTTTGACCGCGGCACAGTTTGACGATTTTAGTTTATTTGTTGATCGATTTTCTGTTATGGTTTATGATTATTCAACGTCTATGGGACACAGGTAATCTTGTTATTTCTCGTGTTTTTGTTTTCTCAACTTAAGCAGAATTTTTATGATCCATTATTGCTTAGTCAAGGACCAAATGCAGATATAAATTGGGTGGAAGATAACATTCTTCACTTTACACCGACATCACATAACAGAGATAAATTACTACTAGGATTAAATTTGTATGGCACCGATTACTCGGGTTCAAAACAATCCAACCCAATTATAGGAAAAGACATTATCAAAATATTAGAAAAGCATAAACCAACAAAATTTGTTTGGGATGAATTATCGGCGGAACATCATTTCGAGTATGTTAAGACTGGTGTGAAACATGACGTCTGGTATCCTACCTTGAAGGTTTTTATGTTTACTTATTTTTTTTAGTCGATTATTTTTAATGAGGATTTATTTGATTTTTTTGTGTTTATTAGTCGCTTGAACAAAGAATACTATTGGCCGAAGACTATGGCACTGGATTATCATTATGGGAAGTTGGTCAGGGGTTAGATTATTTTGTGAGTTTCTATCTTTAATTTGTTTTTTTCTTTGATTGGTTATTATTTATTAATTTTAATTTTAATTTAATTTTTTTAATGAATTTCTTTAGTACGAATTATTTTGATTATTTAGATTTTGTATTAAACGTATTTATGATAAAATTCTTTTTTTATTATTAATTAAATATAACCTCTAATTCCCAAATTAAAATCCCGAATTTACAATGGATTTAACTATTACAAATATAGTATGGCTCTTTAAGTTTTGTGTATAATTAATTGATGATCTATCTATTTTTATGAATTCGAAAGAGTACACAAAATAAAAAAATTCGAAATACATAGAAAAATACATAGAATATAGATATAGAAAATGAATGATTTAATAGAACTTCGGGAAAAAGTCAAAATAACAGTTGACAGTAACCACAACGATGAATCACATTCGTCCACAAAATATACTGCTTTGCCGTCTTCCAGCAGCGCTATCGATATTACGACTTCTAAAAAAATAAATCCACCGAGATGGAATACACTAGAATTTTATTTCTATTATCTAGTTTTTGCCATATGTGTTCCGATGATGTTTAAGATTGCTATTGATTTGAGTAAAGGTATTTTACTAACAAAGCAATAGCTCTTGATTGAAATAAACAACTGAATTAATCCTATTATGCTAGATTCGCATCCAAATTATCCGTTATATGCGAAAAGATTACAGAAAGGATGGATATTTGGCCGCAAAGTGGTAAATACCAATAAATTATTCACAAATACTTTACATGAACAAATGTTCTCATACAAGGTTCTAATCTACAGGATAACAGCGATGCCCAATTCGCAAGCTTACGCGACAACTATCCAGTCCTAGCAATCGCATTAGTTGGTTATCTAATCCTGTCTCACATATATCGATTATTCTTCATTCCGAGAGCTCCAATAAAACAACCATCACAACATCTTGGACGTGCATACTTCTTTTTAGGATTTGCTTTGGTCTTTCTGTATGTGTTGCACGGGAACAGCTTATTAAAGATTTTGATGATCTTGAGTGTGAATTATAGTATTTCAAAGATCTTCAAGGGCTCGAAAATAAACATTGTTCTCACGTGGATGTTTAATTTGGTTGTGATTTTTTGTAATGATCATTATAATGGATATGCGTTTTCGATGATCGACGAACGATTGGCATTTTTGGTATGTATGTATCTCTCTTATTATTTAATTTTTTGTTTGAAGTTCATTATAATCTCGATCATAATATTTTAATTTCCTATAATATAGGATAAAAATCAGGGTCAAATGAAGAGATGGTTTATCACTTTTAATATATGTATGTTACGTATGGTTTCTTATAACATGGATTATTATTGGTCCTTTCATCATAACAATGTAGGCCTGAATGAGGTAATCCAAGGAGAACCATATGTAAATTTTTTATAAATTATCATTATCTTAATTTCAAAAAATCAATTCATAATCGATTGACATTTTTCTCGACATTTTTTTGGAACAGAGAAATGATAGAGATCATGCTCCGCTCACGATAAAAGATCGAATAAAACATTCTTGCTTTCCTGGAGATTATAATTATGTGTATTATTTGAGTTATATACTGTATACTCCATTGTATATGGCTGGTCCAATTCTTACGTATAATGATTATATCTCACAGGTAAGTTTTTGGCTATATGAATTTTTGTTTTATTGATTATATCCTTTATCGTTAATCCAATGTAATTTATTGCTATCTTCTGAATAGTTGAGATACCCACATAAAATCAACATAAAAGCAACCTTTTTATATGGAATAAGATTGATTGCTGCAGTGCTTGGTATGGAATTGATGCTTCATTATATATATGTTGTGGCGATTAGTCAATCGAGAGCGTGGATAGGAGATACGCCAGCTCAATTGAGCATGATTGGGTATTTTAATTTGAAATTAATTTGGTTAAAGGTGAATGTAATAAATGAGATGGATTATTATTGAGGGTAGAATTATCTTTATAAAATTCACATCATTTAATTTGAATCTTATAGTTATTAATTATATGGCGATTTTTCCGATTTTGGGCGATGGCAGATGGCATGGAGGTAGCCGAGAACATGACTCGATGTATGAGTAATAATTATTCGGCTCAAGGATTTTGGAGATCCTGGCATCGAAGCTTTAATCTTTGGAATATTCGGTAATTTAATTTTTTTAGTTTCTAATTTTATGACTATTTCTCGGGCCAAATTCTAATGGAGGTTGTTCGTTACATGTTTTAGTTATATTTATATCCCGCTGGGTGGGAGCAAACGTCAAATTTTAAACATCTTGATAGTATTCACGTTTGTCGCCTTATGGCATGATATATCATTACGCCTATTAGCTTGGTCATGGCTGATTTGGCTATTTATTCTTCCGGAAAGTTTTGCGCAAAAAATATTTTTAATTAAAAAGGTAAGTGATATGAATTGTTGAAAACTAAAAGTTATGATGTGAAAATTGCTAATTATCGAATTTTGGGTCCAGTGGGATAAAACACCATATTATCGACACATTTGTGCCGCCGGGGGCGTATTTAATATTCTAATGATGATGATTGCAAATTTGGTTGGATTCTCGGTTGGATTGGATGGACTCAAGGATTTGTTGACGCAAATCTTTTTGACGATTCATGGTACTGTATTTATTATTTCATTGATACTTGTTCTTGATATAAATGAGGTGTAAATTTTTTACTTTTTATTGTTTTTTTTTGCCAGGATTTATTTTTTTGTTTATTTCTTGTTCAGCGTTATTTGTTGGTGTGCAAATAATGTTTGAGATTAGGGAGGAGGAGGCTCGAAAAAATATTAATACCAAAGGGTGAAATGATTAAGTTCACTCCATCAAATATTCATTACTTCAAATATATATTTGGTCATTATTATTATCATTATCAATAAAATCAATCATTCTTATCACGTGTATACAAGAATGTTATCACATTAGATTTTGTATTACCTTTTGTCACCTAACTGAAATTGAACTAAATTTATTTATTTCATGTTCTATTTCAAATTTATTACTATCCTTATTATGACAATAATAGTATGCTTATACTTCGATGACGACGATCTTCAAAAATAAACTTTTTTATTTATTGATGTTATATATACGTGTATATATATTTGAGATCGGATCGGATAAATTCGAAAGGGAGGAAAATGTTTCCTAAGAAAAACTATAAAAAGTTGAGATAATCATGATATCATGATATCGGTGTTGACATATGACCTATTATGATTTCTATTCTGACTATTAATGATCTATTATAATATATATCATAATAGAAATCATAATAGGTCATATGTCAAAACGATGATATAAATGTTAGAGTAATGGGTATATTATATATATATAATATAATATATATAAATAATTGGGCACGCGACGCGTCTTACATGAAAACATAGAAGTAAAAAAGAAAAACAAATTTTATACAAGAAAGGGATAAATTAATAAATAGAGATATAAATATGCTGTTTGTGATTTTTTGACTAACTTAATATATGAATAGATAGTTGTTTTTTGTGTAATTCTAATCCAATTTCTCTAGTCACCAACCATAACTCTAGCTCTAACCCAACTATAAACTTAACTTTCTTAATTGTCCAAATTTATTTTTTTCTATAATATTTGTATATAGTATTTATATATTTATATGTATATGTATATGTAAGTATATGTATATATGTATATGTATTTATATTTATATTTCGGAATATTGATTGAAAAACCACGCAAACAAATATATATAAAATGTGTTTTGTAAAGCGGGAATGCATGAATCGATCGATCGACCATAAATAGAGGAATACGTCGTGTTATTTTTAAAGTTCATAAAATGATAAAATAGAAACATCAGCATTGTCGTGAATTGGTTGTCGAATAAAATGGAGGTAGTAGTAATATCGACGGCTGCTTCGGAAAATATGAATTTGTCTCAAATTGATGATGATTTAGTGTCGACATATCTTTTATCGCTCCATGATAATTAAACATATTATTATTGTTGTTGTTGTTGTTGTTGTTGTTGTTGTGTTTGTCGTCGCCGTTGTTATTATTAACATCGTTATATTCATCATATTCATCTTCATCCTCATCTAATTGATCTGTTCCATTTGATATTGATGTAGCTGATGATGTTGATCCAATACTGTTACTTCGTGATAAAGAAGACGAGGGCGAAGATGATAAAGACGACAATGATGATGAATAATAAGTTGGGGGAAAGTTAGGAGTTGTCGGTGTGCTTATAGGTGATGAGCCGGAAGAGGAGACCGACGAAGGACTTGATGGAGGATGCAAAAATGCGAGGGTATGATTATAATTATGATGATGAAGGTGATGATGATGATGTTCGTTATTTATTAATGGACGCCATACGATTGGTCGATCTGATTTTACTGAGAGTATATGCTCACGGCGATGATGTCTTGTTAGATTAGTTTTCCTACAAAAGCTTTAACATTATAGGGATGATATTGTCAATTATTGACATTCTTAAGATTGAATTTCAACTTATGAATGATAAATTAATAGGGTACCTTTTCCCACAACTATCGAAACCACATTTGTATGGTCGCTTTCCTGTATGAATGCGTCGATGTCTCGCCAGCGAGCTACTATCACTAAATGTCTTCTTACAGTCCGGCTGTTCACAAATGTGTGGTCGTTCACCGGAATGTGTTCTCATGTGGACGGTGAGTGCCGAACGCTAAGATGATATCATGCTCGTTAGAAGATATATATATACAAAGCATTGTCATATGTGGGTCAATTATATGCTATTATTAATTTCCAAAATTAACCCTATTAAAAAAAAGAGGTTCTAAAAATGACTGTGGTCTAGAACTGGCAAATTTTTATATATATGTATTGTTATAAATTTATGTCCAGTAAATAAATAAAAACAAAACTGCAGGTACATGATAATAATAATAAAAGTCTACACGTGTATCTCAGTGGACCCTCACAAAAATTAAGTAATGGCATTATTTGTTCACCTGAATGAAACTCTTTCCGCATCCGGTTTCTGTGCAAGCGAATGGTCTATCAAATGAAAAATGGTGATTGTTAAATGATGATATGTCTCTGGTTTTCAAAAAAAAAAAAAACCAAAAATGATAGCAGATAAAACAAAACGACGCCACTTTGCCCATACACAAATAAAAACACAGATAATTTAGTAATGAAACCGATTTTTTTACCTTTCATTTGTGTGAATTCGACCATGTCTCGCAAGGTCAGATCGGCGCGAAAACGCTTTACTACAGCCATCCCAGCTGCAACGAAATGGTCGACTTTCACTATGTTGAGTGTCGGTGTGTATAAGTTCCAAAATATCCATGATTTCGTTTTGCAATTTTACTTTACTGGCTTTTGGTTTGTTTTTTTTTTTGTGTATGCTTGAATGTCAAGAAGTTTATGATAATAGAAATGTAGATATTCTTGGAACCGAAAGTTTAATGTAATAAAATATGATAATGAAACCTTTGCCCTAAAGAAATAAAATGTCGAAGAAAAATTATTCGTCGATTTTTTATGATTACAAGACAGTGTGGCCGTCTGTTGTGAAATATCAAAAGAAAGTCCAAACAACAAACGGAAAGTACACACAGAATTTGTGAAGTTGATAAGAGTGAAAGATTTTGCGTAGCTATTATTATTTGCTTTAATAATAAATAAAATTGATGGGATTCTTATTGTTAGTTGCTAATTCTCTTCGTCGAGTTTTATAAATGAAATACCGGAGAAAAAATAGATAAACAAAATTGAATATTATTATATTTATTTGTATTATTAATATAGACGAGAGAAAAAAGAAAGAGAAATAGAAATATTGGAGAAGAAGCAAAGGCGGCGTGTGTCCGAGAAAAAGGAAAACAAGAAAGTAGCAATCAAAGGTTTAAAAAGAAAAATTATATATACACATTATTTTATATATATATTGTAAATAAATATATATATATCAATATGTATTTTATATCTGTTCACACACACACACACATACACACACGCACATATAGATATATATATATATATATGCATTATTATATTTATTATGTATATCTTGCTATGCTGTTAACTATAAACTTGAATAAGATATACACAGGGAGCGAAAATTTTTTTTCTGACGAATAGATAAACCCAAGAATATAATGAATAATGAATTTATAAATGATAATTTAAAAAAATTTTCTGACTGGATGAGGAATAAGTTTTGTTTTTCCATTGGATTTGGCGATAAACAATAAATGTATGTTATTTGTTATATTCGTTATAAATAATGTAAACTGTGTTCATTGAAGAAAATTACTGTGCGGTGTTGTTTTGTAATTTTTTTTTTTGTATAAAGTAGATCAGTTTTATTTTTTCCTTCAATTTTTTAATCATCATGAATTTTTTCTCTGCTAATTATTAATTAAAACAATTGCAAGGGCGACGATGATTTATCCATATATTTACATTACATATCTTTATTTATACATGTGTTAATTAAATATGATATAATTTAATTTATTTATGCTTGATTTTTTTTATTAACCTTAAAATAATGACGATTATTGATATTATTTCGATCGGCAACATAATTTTAGATTTTCTTTTTTTTTTGACAAGAGAATATTTGCAATTAAAGTTAAGAGCAATTGATTAAAGGATAAAAAGATTTTGATTCTTCTGCAGGCCCGTGTTTTAGTCTTGTATGCGTCCCAAATCATGCTGTACGTTTCGTATATTTCCGCGTACTAGCCAAGATAATGTTGCTATTTGTGAATTTGATGTTTCACAAAATTTATTCTACTATATATTCATTGTATGTTTTGTTGGTTTACTTCTTTTGAATTAGAATGTTAATGAATGCATCAATAATAGTGTCACATTGGTTTATTTGTGCGTACATCTGATTGTTCATTTGATTTACGTATGCGAGTGATTGGAATAATTCTCGTAATCACGTTTCATCATAATATCACAGAAACTTTCTTTTAATTTATCACCTTCCATAAAAATCAATTTTTTACGCACCGACATTCTGCGGTACCATAATAACAAAACCTAAAAAAGTCATATATATATATATATATAACAAATAAACAATATCTATCAATCATATGATGTGATTTTATTAATGTTTCATGATGATTTACGCATTTTTTGTTGAAACTCGCCCCGATTTTTTTACTTAATAGTGTTTATAAAACAATGCGTTGCTAATTTTTCTATTAATTGCGTTAAATTAGTAAGGAAAATGACCGTCACCTATCACAGTCAACTGTTGCTGGTTGATTTATTATGGATATTTTCATAATCTTGTATGTATCGTCATTTTCGCTATACTCGGTCTTTTCTTTCACATTATCAAATCTTTTTTTATTATAATGATGCAAAAAAACAGGAAAACTCATGCCTGATTGTATTTAATCGTTTTACCGTCATTATCGTTTTTCACACGGAAAAACCGGTGATAATGATGAAACTACAATCATAAGGGAAAAGAAAAACCTTATTTTTTTTGGACTTAATCTTTGGAATGCGACATGTGAAAAGATAAAAGCTTCTACATTATCCGTTATTATTTCGCAAAAGTGAAAGATAAATCGTCGTTGTTGTCTTCGACTTTGAAATTGTCTCTCTTAAACCGTCCAACAAATAAATTTAAATGCTCTAATTTAACAATAATGCATGCAAAGGTCCTACATGCACGCATGTATGCATCTAAAAAGAGAAAAGTGCAAAAAGATTTTGTCATGCACATGTCCATTTCATCACGTCAAAAAGATAAACCAAACCGACTTTTATCTCCGCTGTTTTCAAACCTATTTTTCATTGATTCATTAATTGGTAGGTTGTCTGGTCGATTGATTTCTTGAATTTATTTTTGCATCACTTGAGGGCTTGATCATTGATTAAGCTATTAGGTAAGGTTCGGAATATGCATAAAATTTTGACAGTTGAGATATTTGGTTAGGCTCTCCAAGGAATAACCCCCATTATAAGAGTTAATGTGGTAAATAATAATAATGATAATAACAACTACATTAATAAATAATAATAATAATAATAATAACAAATTAATGGAAAGAAAAAAGAAAAGAACATCATATGACCTCAATTCGAATTTTTTCTGTGTCAGTGTTGCAATAATGTGCATATCCGTTGCGCGGGGTTGAAAATGCAAGAAATCTTAAAATACACTTTTACACAAAATAAAGTATACAAACATAACACACTCATGTTGATGAATGTCTTCCCCTCAACCTCAACTCGGACCACTGTCTTTATTCCTGTTTCCCCTGAGTTTAGAAATCAAAGACAATAATAAAACGGTCTTTGGGTATTTATTTCTTCTATTATTCCGTCAAAGAGAACTAATACGATGAATTAAACGCCTAAACTGTATAGAGATATATGCACACACACACATATATATATATATTTTACTTTGCCAATCCAAACTTTAAAGTTTTGCCTTGTTGCATGAATGGTGTTGTAATTTTGTGTTGTAAAATTATTTTGAAATGTTAAAAACACGACAGTTCATGCATTAGATATTTTAAATTATTATGCGAAGATCCCATGTTTTGTATTTATGTTTTGTAATTTGTATGAATGCTGAGTTACGTTACAATAAATTGGCGAACAGACAAGACAATGAGCCAAAAATGTTTATCAGAGGTTCAAAGATTTTCGCTCATTTAAAACGGTTGATATATAAATGCAAGTAACTCATGACAACAATACAAATAAAGGTTATATATATGCTTGTCATTTTCGATCGACTATCATTAGTAAAAGCGTCGTCGTTTTTTTAGTCGCCATTGAGAAAGAAGTTTATGATGATGCAACAAGGAGATGACGGCGACGCATTATTCCATTACCATGCATTTTCTTACCTTCATCTATTTTTTTTTGTGTCTCATCTTTTTCAGGTTTTTTTTTCTCTTGGCTTGCATATATGCATTAAGTTTATGCTTTGCTTGTTTTCGACTATCTTAATACGACGTGATTAACGTGTGATGTGATTTACGTATTAAGTATGTGATATTATGCGATTTTAACGAAAATCCAATATTCCACTAAACAGTGCGAATAATGGCAATATAAAAGATAATAGTAATACGAATAGCATAAAAAGAGAATGATTAATTAAATGAGTTTTTGGCGCACATACCATCGCTGATGAGAATCTCAAACTCAGATTTCCCATGTTCTGCCAATATCGCAAAAAAATTACCCATGCTTACATGCATGATCCTTTTTGTGTATTTGTTTTCTCAATACGGTAAAAAAAATGCGAATTTTTTAAATTCGATTGTGCAAGTTTATCGTGTATGTGGGGTATATTGAATCGCGCTTTTTTTTCTCGGATACACCACATGTAAAAATCCAAGTAACTTCTTTGCATATTTTTGACGCATATTGAGATTTTTTGACAAAAAAAAAATGCGCAATTTTTTTCATGTAAGTATATCATCATCAATGAAAAAAAACCACATTTTTCTGATTGACCATTGAAATGAAAATGCGAGTTTTACGGTTTGTGATAACAAATAAGATCTCTATCTTTTACAGCATACATGTGCCCTTGAACACACATAAGTTAAATTAGGCACAAAACCATCACGTAAGAATACGGAAAAAGAAGAAATATTAGATAAATGTGTAACATCTTAACATATTTGAAAAATGCAATTCGTTAGCATCCCACATTGTGCATAAGAATAAAATCATCATCGGAAACCAGGTTTTTTCAAATGAAAGATGCATAGATAAGAACGAAGAATGTATGAAGGCTGGTTTCTTTTTCTTAATCTAATCCTAAATCAAAAATAAATGGGAAAACTACAGAATGAGGAAAACAAACAAAATGCGCAAATTTTATCGTGAATTAATTACGCAATAAATATTTCAATGGGGTCATATACCAATAGATCTTTTGGCGGTGAAACAGTGAAACCGAACATTGGGAATTAATAATTTGAGCAGAAGTAAACATAATATGGATTATGCAAGTTCGAACTTCTTGCCCAAGTAAACTTATCGTCATAAATAAAGAGAATTATGATATCATTTCATCGTCACAAAAAGAATTTATTATATCCTCAAAACTTGATTCCGTTCAGAACTGATAACAAAAGATTCTCGTGGTTATTATCATGGGATGCGAAAAAAATGAAAAAAACAACATTAAAGATCACGCAGAAAACAATGTTCCTATTTCTTATGGAAAACCGGTTCACATAGTTTTTTTCCCTTTTTTTTTTTTTTTTGCGTGTCGTTTCTTTTTGACTTGAATCGTGCAATGGAGCTAAATAGCTCGATCATCGTGATAACATAATTTATAAC